TTCCTAATTATAACTCACTTCTGAGAAGTTCAAGTACATGGATAAAGCAGGATAATCTTTACACTGAGTTCTTTGAAGAGTTAACTTGGGAATTGTCAGCTGTCTCCATTGTAGTCAAGGTCAATAACACATATAGAAGACAATAAGTGACATGCATCTTGCGGCAGTATTCATTTTTTCCCCTAATTTTATTAGGAGAAATTTTAAATATTTAGAAAAAGAAAATGAATTTTGTCAAATGTTTTCTGATAGTTTTGTTCTTTCCAATTATTACTATGCTGAATAATATTAATAGAATTCCTAATTTTAACCTACCACATTCCCAAAACAAAAATCCCCTTTGGATTAGTTATATTATAATAATTAGTTATATTATTCCTTTAATGAGCTTCTGATCTCTTTGTTCATATTTTATTTAGGATTACTAAGTTAATATTCATAAGACAATGGTTTTCTTATTTGGCGGCATATCATACTGATTCAATAAAAATTTATTGAGGAGTATTTGTTATCATGTCCTGCCCTATCAACTCTGATGCTATTTTACCCACATATACTCACAACAATTAAACCTTTCTTGAGGATTGTACCAAATATAATTATAAAGTATCTTTCTAAGACTCTAAAATGTTTTTGGCCTTGAAATCCATCTTATCTAATACTAATTTTGAAACACCTTTTATCCTTTATTAGCATTTGTCTGTTATGTCTTTGTTCATTTTTTAGATACAATATGTTGTTCATATCACAAAGATATAGGGTCGATCAACAGAGTAGGAGGAGGAGAGCAAGGCGGAGAGGGGAATGGAAAGAAGGGAAAGGGGAAGAAATATGGAATGAATTTAACAATATAATATTACATACATATATAAACATACCAAAAGAATTTCACCTTTATTATATGTAGAAAATACTAATCAATAATAAATAAATAAATGAATGAAAGGAAAATCAATATAGGAGAGGAGAAAGAATAAAGGGATGGAGGAGGGGCGGGAAAGTGAGAAGAAAGGGAATTGAAATCAAATTCCTTGCATGTTTTGTCAAACTTAACCAAAATATTAAGTATAATTATAATGGTCTAATAAAAAGCAATGTTCATAAATTAGTTCATCAATATTTCTAGTACCTATTATATGCCAGGCATTGTGCTAGGTCTAGGAATACAACAATGAACTCAGCAGACGAGGCTTCTGCTTAAATAAACTTTGGACACGACTGACTAGTAATTTCCCACTTGCTGTCTAGACAACTTATTGATTTTAGTTTTATCATCAGTTATATTTTAGACTGAGGCATTCTATCCTTGGTTAAAAATCTATGTGTGCTCTTTCAGGCCTAACCATAGGCAATTACAAAGGCTTTCAAAGGCAGCCTCCGAGGGAAGACCTGCTTTCCTCACACCAGAGCTGGCCCCGTCCATACTGCATGGCAGTTTCTCAAAGGTGTTACAATTCTGATCTTGGTCCCTCCTGAACTATCATGCTCTTCACACTTTGCATTCCTAATTCCAGAACTCCCATTTCTAATTCTCTTTGATTGAGACCTTGGGTAGGAATGGCCCACCAAAGTACT